AAAGTTTGGGGAAACAGGAAGAAAAATGAGTTTAAAACTTGGAGGAGAGGTCACGTTTGGTTTGGAACATGCTGAGTTTTGAGGTGCTTCTGGGATATCCAGGTTGTGATATCTAGAGACAGGCAGATATTGAGGCCTGATGTTTAAGGAATATGGAGGCTGGAGAGAGAGATCTGAGACTCAGCCTCAGAGAGGATAATGCGGCCACAAAATCACATTATCCAGTGGTATTTAAGGACGGGGGAAATGTTTAATGAACAAGGCTGACTCCAATCAGTATGCCCAATTTGGTAGAAGGAAACAAATGTTTGTTTATATGTCCCCCCCCCAAAAAGAAATATCTAGAAGGATAGGGAGCCAAATGTTAAAATTATAGGTGATTTAAATATTATTTTTCTTTATACTCGTCTGCATTTTTCTTTTTTAAAAAAGCAGTTAATTCATTTAACTAATGCATATTGAGTGACTACAATGTGCCAGCATTTTCTTAAGGTCTGGATGATAAGTATATATTGTTTTTATAACTTAAAAAACTCTTTTTGAATTGCTCATCTAACCAATGCCTCATTTCACAGATAAGAAAATGCTGACAATCCTGAGAGGGGAAGTTACTTGCCCAAGGTCACAAAATCAGCCCATACAGCTCCTGAAGCCCAGCCTGGAGCTCTGGAAAGCTATAGAAAAGGGGATTTGATTTGCAACCAAGGTTTTTGAAGCACAGCTCTTCCACAAGTTGCAGAAGCTCTATAAATACAACTGTAAATGCGTGGTGTGCTTAATCACATGCCTTACACTGCCTTGTAAGTAATCACCACAATGGCATTTTACCAAAAAGTTTCAAAGCAAAATAATGTAATTTCCTTTCTCAATAATTTTGAGAACTTTTTGTCCTTTACAATAAAGAAAAGAGAAAAAGAGAAGTGTGTTGCACGGTTTCCCAATATTTAAAAAGATGTTCCTCCTGCCAGCTGCTGACACTACTGGGTTTTTAATGCAACTCCACCCACTCCGACCTGCATACACCTCTGAATATAAATTTATGTATATTTGAAAACTTGCCAAACTCTTATACTTCATTCTCTTAAAACAGAATGTAATAAAAGCAAAGTCACAATTCTTTCAAATTTATTGAATTCATACTACCTATTGAATAAAAAATTCCATTGTCCTTCCTCATAGATATTGAATTATCTGAAGACCACTGTACATCTGGTATAGACCAACAAAATGAAATATGATTTCTTTAAAGCAGAACATTATTTCCATTAGTTACTTCAGAAAGCTTTTACCTGTAATTAAGCTAATCAATTACAGGCTTTAAACCAATCTCTGACATGAATTAGATTTACGAAATAAATAACCTTTAGTTAATGTATATTCGTTTTTAAAATTGAGTCCCATCACAATCTAATGATCGATAAATAGAGTACCAGAAATAATATCCTTTTCTATTTGTCAGGTATTATAAATGATCAGCCTGCTGGATGTAGAATGCAAACAGCTATTGGTCTAACCTTTAGGGGCCCATCTCCTGAAAGCATAATATATCATTTTTACTTTATGTTTTTTCTGTACTTAAGGTCCATTTCTGCAGCCTTACAGATGATGTGGCTATAAGTGCATGTATTATACAAATGCCTTATAAACCGAATACCTGCAGTGTATATTTATTTTGATAACCTTAACTGCCTCTAACTTTAGGAAAGTGAAGAGCTACTGTCTTTTCTATGGATGACTCTGCTCTATTTTCGAGAAAAGATGCTTCGCATTAACATGCAACTTATGCGGCTTTGTCATCTATCACTTGCCACCCTGACAAATCTGAACATTAGATGTTTTTTCAAAAGAACAGACATTAATAGGTAACAGCTTTAGCGATGGGTCAGGCAGTACTGAATTTGAAGAGTCACTCGATCAGTTACAGCCCTAGGTGTACAACCTTAGACCTTAGGCAAGTAACTTAGGCTTCAGTTTCCTCAATTGTAAAAAAGTAGACAATGACATCTGGGATTTTTGGAAGATAATGCATAATTTATGACATTGCCTGGTATGCGCTTGATAAAATAGATGGTACTTAAAGGTATAAATAAGAAGATGTTTTTCAAGTTTAACATATCATACAACCAGTATTTACAAAAGGCCTATCTTTGTCTCTAGCTCCCCAAAACAAACACCCACCAACGTTGCTTTGGGGATTATTGTGAAGGCCAGGAAAGAAGACAGAATAACTCTATAATGCCCTTCTTCCAGAATTCAGGCCAATACTGTAATGTTCATGTTTATCTATACTTCCCCATCTGGTTCACTTTATGAAGCCTCAGTTGTTTCTGGGGGTGGCAGTGGTTACCTCTTGGGATCCAACCAACTGACTCTGAAGTAGACTATTGCAACACAGCCCCTTTGTGAGTACTGTTTAATATTCAACAGGAATTTGGTATTTGCTAAACCTTTGACCTTAGTATCTGTGACCATATCGTTTTCTGCTTAAGATCCTAAACTCATGAAGAACATGTTTTTGTTTAATGTTTTCACAACTTTTAAGTACAGAAATGCTTAGAGGATCGGCTGGTGGATAAATCCTTGAAATGTTGACAACAACATACTATACCCCATAAGGACCTACATTCTCAGTTAAGAATTGTAGCCATTCCAGAATGGCTAAGGAACAGATAGAAGACCAGGAAGACCCCACTTTCCAGGATCTTGGAGCACGCAAAGATAATCTTGAGAAAGAGAGGGAATGCCCCCTGCCCACAGCATTCCAGTTGTCTTCTTTGCTGCTTCATCTGGACAGCAGAAAGAGAATGAAAGTTACTGCTCAGCTGTAAGAGGGAGAATGATGCTAGTGGTCAGAAATAGCAGCTCCCCACCTTGCAGATGGGAGTGTTCAATGGGATGCCCTGCCATCAGCAAAGGACTTTGTTAATGATAAGTCTATGACAACAGAAAGGGCTTGCGCTATGACTGCAAGTTCTGACATTTTAAATACAGGTGTACACACACAGACACATGAACAATATGATCTGAATTTTGTAAAATAGAGCATATTAAAACATGTAAAGGCAATGCACCAAAACATTGGCTGTCACTGAGAGGGAGTGTATTATTAATGTTTTTCTTCTTTTTACTTTCCTATTATTTTTCCAATTGTTTCCTATAATCACATATTGTTTCGATAGCTAAAAAATTCATTAAAATGTAAAAATAAGTTCATTCAAATTCAGTGCATATTACTTTTTAGCAAAAGGGAAAAATGAATACACAAAACAAAGTTTGCCAATTTTTAAAGCAGACAATGATCTGTCCTACAAAAGACTTTATTGACATAATGATAAAGGTTGATAATTAGTAATCAGGGAGAAGCTTTCCAAATGGCGATTTGAGCAGCTTGCCCAGATCCTTCTCTCTGGGTCAAATCTACCTGCCTTCCTTTTTTTCTGTTAAACATTCCCGTCAATCATAGAGGATTGGGGAACTTGGAGAGCGCGAAGAGTAAGGAGAGCAAAACTGTCAGAAATCAGTATATGAATGAAGTAGCTATCACCAAAACTGCTTTGAAAGACCGTCAGCCTGTCCACAGTAACATGGGAAGAGAAAGACAGAGAGGGGTTGAGGGGGTGGGAGGAGAAGGAAGGGAGGGAGCGATGGAGAGAGGGAGGGAGGAAGGAAGGAAGCCTACTATACACTGGACTTAATAGTCCAATTTGTTTCACACAAGGTGTGGTCCAAGTGAAAAGCCAAGGCCTTTAGTGTATCAATACACCTTCACTTTGGAAGAAGCCATTTCTCCCAAGGCAGCTCAAAACACAGGACTCAAGGAGGGTGTGGGCTTTACTTTAGCCCAAGGGCTGAGAGTAGAATTTTCACTCTATGTTCCTGTAAAGCTGCTCTGTTAGTCTCTTGATCTTGCGTTGAGGAGGTTTGGGGAAATGTTGCAGGGGTGTCCAATCTTTGGCTTCCCTTGTCTTGGGCCACACACAAAATACATTAACACTAACGACAGCTGATGAACTAAGAAAAAAAATTGCAAAAGAAAAAAAATCTCATAATGTTTTAAGAAAGTTTATGAATGTGTGTTGGGCCACATTCAAAGCCATCCTGGGCTGCATGCTGCCTGCAGGTTGGACAAGTTTGGTTTAAGTTTCCTTTCATTGACCCAAACTTCTAGGCCTTTGTATCTAGAGAAACCCAAGCCTACCTCCACCTGGGGAGTGGTGATCTGACTGCTCTCCTGCAACATCAGTAAAACTATGGGTACTCCAGCAGCAAGAATGTTGTGTCCCCAGAGCAAGTGGGATGGAGAAGAGAGCCTGTGAGGCTGCGTTGGTGTGTGTGAGTGCTGCGAGATCGTTTCCGGAATACTTTTTCTTCTAAACCCTGGTCGGGGCTATATTTTTTTCTACTGGGGGTGGGAGTGGGGGCAGAGGGTAGGGGACGGGAACGTGAACACAGTGGGCATCTAGCCCACTCAGACACATCACCCGCTACACTGCTCACTTTGAGTCAAGGCTGTAACTACCAGGTGAATGGATTTTTCATTTGGTTTTGGCTGGGGATAAAGGATGGGTCGAAATGGTTGGAAGAAATGACTGGGACTGCCTACTTTAAAAAAAGATTCTAAAGAAGGTATGGAAGATTTCCGACTGCCACAGAACACCAATCAAAATGGGGTGGCGGGGGGATTTGGGGAGTAAGCGGTATAGAGAAATGAGGTTAAGGGGATGGCCTTAAACTCATCAAATTAACCAAAGGGAGGAGTCGAGGGCGTCTGGTTGAGCCAAGGCTGCTGGGCTGCTGCCCAGAAGGGGCGCCTGGAAGGGACCCCAGCGAAGAGAATCTGAGTCCCCTCTGACACCCGCCGGGGTCGCGCTCCTTCCCGCCCACCCAGCCCCTCGGCACCGCGCTGCGCGAGGTGGCCCTGCTGGGGACCCCGGGACGGCTGGAGAGGATGCCCGAGGCTCCGTGGGTACCGCGGGACGGGGGCGCGGCGGGGCGGGTACCTTGGTGCCCTGGTGGAAGTCGTCGATGGACCGCGAGCCCATGAAGGGGAACTCCATGTGCGTGTGTGTGTCGATGCCTCCCGGCAAGACGAGCTTGCCGGCGGCGTCGAGGACCCGCAGCCCCACAGGAGCGCCCCCGGGAGGCAGCAGATCGTGCCCAAGCGCCCGCACCACGCCGTCCTCCACCAGCACGTCGGCCACCTCGGAGAAGTCGTCGTTGACCACGCGACCCCCGCGGATTAAGAGCCGCGAGGGCGCCGCCATGGCAAGCGGCGCGCCGGGTCCTACCCGGTCCGGGATGCGTTCAGGGGCTGGGCTGGGCTGGCCGGGCTGGGGGTGCCCTCCTGCAGGGTCCCCACCGACAGCCCCCGAGCTCTGGCTCGGGCCGCAAATCCGGAGGACGGCGGCCTGGCGGATTTATGACCTGGCCGCACATGCGGCTCCTCCCCCGGGAAGGCTGGGCTGGAGCCCAAAGGCCGGGATTGAAAAGGTCCGCATGGTCCTTGCACACTCAGATCCCAAGTGTTCTGCGCCCTGAGTCGAGGTATCCACCCAGGCTTCGGAGTCATTGGAAGGGAAAGATCTTGGAGTTTTAAGAGAAAGGGACATGCGTTTTTCATCGTAAGATTAGGCGCCTGAGGGAAAGAAATCCACCTCATTCTTCCCTTGGTTGGGGGTGTGTTTGTACCAAAAGACAGATCCAGAGGGAGAAGGAAAGCAAGAACCATCACCAGAAGTAGCAACAAAAATACCCAAACACACCCAAGTCAGAACAGAGCCACTCGATCTGGGTTTCCTTTTAAACGTTCTTAAGCCAGGAGCAAATTATCATATAATCCCAGTAATTGGCAGACACAGGGAAAGATCAGAGTAAAATATTTAATCTATTTGAAATAAAACGACTTGGTGCCAACTATTCTCCACATTTTAATGATACAACACATATCAGCAAGTGTTTCTTGGAAAATAACTGGTACTGTAACTCTAAAGATTTCGATTTCTACTCCCAGCTTTTCCACAAAACCAGTTTAGAGATCTTCAGTTAAATCTTTTATTCTCTTGGTTCCTCAGTTTTCTCATATGTAAAACTGAGTAATACTTGTTCTTGCCTTCCAGATTTGCTTTGAGAAGCAAATATGATGATGGCTGTGAACACACCTTAATAAAGTGGGAAGCACCATGCAAATTCACTTAAATATTGGTTTTGTAAGGACTACAAAGCTGACTAGGGGGATTGGTTAGAGGGCTAAGTGAGAAAGATAAACCACATTTCCACCCTCAAGTAGCCAACAGCCAACAGTGACACACATACATATTTCAATATATAAAGCAGAACATTATATATTTGAGAAGGGATAAAGATAAGAATTTAGAGGAAAGAGTGAGTTTATTTCTGGCTTAAAGAAATCAGATATGGAAGATTTGTGAAGAGATATTTGAACTAGGATACAGAGAATGTGAACACGCAGAGATGAGTGGTGGAAAGAGGACATGGTACTCCAGGTAGAGTGAACACAGTGTGTAAAGGCACAGAGAGGATGAAGGAATGCACTCCCTGTGATTAAGCTACGAGGGATAGGCTTACACTGAATCCTGGACCATCCCTTTGCTTATAGGGGAGGAGGAGGAAGAAGAGACAGAGTGGTCAGAGAGAAGGGAGACCACAGGTCTATGTGATGGAAGACAGGAATGCAGAATTTTAAGAAGGGCAACAGGATGGAATCTTGCAGAAGGGTTATGAAAGGTTGTGGGGAGGTGGGGTGGACATCTGCTGACCAGACATGTATTCTCATCCTTATTCTGTTAATAGTCACTGGCATTTCTGTGGTGGGAAATCCTCTGCCTGAAGTCTCAGAACACTTGTTTTGGAGAAACTGATGATGAGACACAGGACTAGCTGGATTTCCTAGGCTGACTAAAAATTCCTAAGCCTAGTTGGGGAAGGTGATCGCACCTACCTTTAAACACAGGGCTTGTATCTTAGCTCACACCCGACCAGTCAGGTAGTAAAGAGGGCTCACTAAAATACAAACTAGGCTAAAAGCAGGAGGTAAAGAAATAGTCAAATCATATATCGCCTGAGAGCACAGGGGGCGGGGCAATGATCAGGATATAACCCCAGGCATTCCAGCAGGGAGCGGCAACCTCCTTCGGGTCCCCTCCTATTGTATGGGAGCTCTGTTTTCACGCTATTAAATCTGCAACTGACTGCACAGGCTTCTGGTCTGTGTTTGTAACCGCTCCACCTGAGCTTTTGCTCACCGTCCACCACTGCTGTTTGCTGCCATCTCAGACCCACCGCTGACTTCCACCCCTCCGTATCCAGCAGGGTGTCCGCTGTGCTCCTGATCCAGCGAGGTGCCCATTGCTGCTTAGCTCAGGTTGGAGACTCACCATTGTTCCTGCATGGCTAAGTGCCCGGGTTTGTCCTAATCGAGCGGAACACTAGTCGTTAGGTTCCATGGTTCTCTTCCGTGTCCCATGTTTTCTAATAGAGCTATAACACTCACTGCGTGGCTGAAGGTTCCATTCTTTGGACTTATGAGGCCAAGAATCCCAGGTCAGAGAACAAAAGGCTTGCCGCCATCTTGGGAGCGGCCCACCACCATCTTGGGAGCTCTAAGAACAAAGACCCACCCATAACAATGGGACCTCTAGCTCTGCGACTGAGCTCTCACCTTCACTCTTCCAATCAAGGCAGGGAATCCTCAAGCCACAGTGATGATGCAGGGATGGGCACACGCTCCAAGCTGACTTCTCATGCCCACGAAGTGAGTGCAGATCCCAAGACTTCTTATTTTTAGGTTGAGCAGACAAGAGGCTTGTTCTTTCCTCATGGACTTGAATCCTAGGGAGTGTAAACAAGGGGCTTCTGGGAGCCTTCTAGACAACACAGAGAAATAGCCCTTCTGTGAACAGAGCCAACCTCAAGAACAGGAAGGAGAGATGGAGAGAGGCTGGCTTCTCATGACACTGAGTTCCTGAATCCCACCATGCCTAAAGCCCCCTCCCCTAGACTTTCCACTTTTTGCTTAAGCTGATTTGAGTCTTTTGTCACTTGCAGGTTCCACTGACAGACACTGGGAAGATACCTTCTTCTTGTTTCGAGACAAGGTGGTCACATGTGACCTCAGAGATGGCATTTTCAATAGCGGAATGTGAGGTATTATTATTGCCAAATCTCCTAAAGCTTCAGCTTACACAAACCTCAAAATAATTAGAAATTAGAAAGCATCAATAATTTAAAGTTCCATAGATTTGGCTGTCAAGCCAGGAACAAGAAACTCAAGGAGGTGATGCAATTATTGTCAAAGGACCTTTGTGTAAGGGTGAAAGGGGTAATTATAAACATAATGAAATTTCTACAAGCTGTACAAGTAAGCCCCACCTTAGGAAAATAAGATTGGATGTCAGTGCAGTTGTGCCATCCTTTCTGAAACTGTCCAGATTAATGATTTCAAAGGTTTCTTTTATCTTAGACAGTTTACATCATGAAATGCCCTGTAACATAACACAAAACAAACTTCCCACATTTAATTAACTCAAACTTTCATCAGAAAAGGGGGATTGTAGAATGTCACCGAAGCGGGAGGAAATGGCTCACTGAGATTCACTGACAGCAATAAAAGAGAGGTAGTTTTAGGGAGATATGTTAACTCACAGAACAGAAGGGACTTTGCCCCTTTCTGGCCATCATTCCCACACACTAGCTTGCAGGGCAGGTGGCTGAGCCTGGACAAACCTGCTCAGTGGGGGAAACTTGTTCTCAGCACACACTCACCTTCATTTTCTTTGTCCTACCGTACCTCCTCCTTACCCAGACACTCCAGGCCCTCCATGCGCAGTAAACAAGAATCAGGGGACACAATGTTGGCATTGGGATAAAGGTGGGATGCAGAGCTCCTGCTGTTCTTCATTTTGGTTGCTGGGGAGAGAGTCAGTTGCATTGATGAACATATCAAGGATGTCTGAGAATACATTACTCCTCAAAGGAATCGTTTTAAAGAAGCATTTTACATGACGGTTACAAAGACTGTCAATGCTTAACCCATGAAAACACATCTATCTGGAAGTGTAGGTGAGGGTGATTTGGCAAGAAGAGCCTCCCATCCGTTCTTGATGGTCTACAGGAGAGAAAGCCTGGAGAAGCAAGCAGGCTTCTCCTTCACTGAATGGTTGAGATTTTGAGAAACAAGTCCACCAGGGTCAGTTGTATTTCAGTCTTTGGCTATCCTGGAGGTGCCAAGTTTGCTTTCTCTTTGCTCCTGACCCTATCCACTCCTACTACAGGCTCCTGTGGGCTAGGAGAGGTTTTTAGGCTGTTGTTTCCACCGAATGGAAGAGTCCTCTGGGGCACAGGGAAGGAATGGTGAGGGTGGATGAGTGAGACTGAGCAAGGAGAGTTGGGCGTCTCAAAGCAGTGCTCATGCACCAGCATCTGTGGAAACTCCAGTTCCCTGGACCACTGAGGGATAGAATTCCCTGGCAGGGTAATGTATTTATACTTGAATCAGTGATGAAAGTGGGAGTTGGGAAAGGTAGATGGCATGGAAAGGGTGGAAGAAAATTTAATGAGGAAATAGTAATCTAATCTAATAGTAATCTGATGCTTCTGCAGAGAGCTTGGGCAAGTCACTTAACAGCTCAGGGTCTCTGCCTCCTCCACAGCTAGGTTGGCAAAAGCTTGTAAGACCCACCCTTCCCACTTTTATAATTTTACAATTCTCTGAATGGAGAGTGCCTGGTATAGTCCTAGAATTACACTCTTCCCAGATTCAGATGAGTGAATTGGGAACCAAGGAAAACTTGCCTTCTAGATTCACAACTATTTTATTCCTGGTCCTTCCACTGGGGCCAAGTGGATCCCCTTGGAAAGGAGCTACATACAGAGTGTAAAACCTACAGTCCTGGGGATGGGGCGGTGATGCTTGGTGGGACTGGTTTTAAAGTCCTCATACTGAAGAGCAGGTATGACATTTTAATCACTGCTCAGAATTAACACGCACGATAGGCAGGGATGGTCTCCCCTGACTCTGGGGGGCCGTGGAGAGAGCTGGCCCACTACACAACTCCAGCGGATACTGTCCCTGAAGCACCACTCCTGGGCAGAAGGAGAAAAGAGGTAATCCACATAACAGTACCAGTGACAGTAGCTGAGATTTGTCCATTACTAACATCAAGTTAGTACTGGGCCAAGTTTTTTCATATGCATTATTTTACTTAATCCTCAGAATTCTTTGAGCTAAGTACTGTTTTACCTTTAACAGATGAGCCTTTTCAGGTCAAACGGTTTGCCCAAGATCACATGGCAGTCAATGTTGGAGGCAAGGCTTTCCTTCTGGAAGCTGTAATTTACCCATTATGCAACTCCACGCTCCAAAGCCACGTCCAAAT